TTTCTGCATCTTCTAATCTGTTCCACTGGTCCTCAGGTCTGTTTCTTTGTCAGTACCATGCTATTTTTATCACAGTAGCTTTGTAGTATAGTTTCAAATTGGGAATTGTGATATCCTTGCCTTGTCTTCGTTGCCTAGAATTGCTTTTGCTATTCTAGGCCTCTTCTGGTACCAAATGAATTTTTAGATTGTTTTCTCTAGTTCTGTAAAATATCTTGGAATTTCAATTGGGATTCCATTGAATCTACATAGCAGTTTTGGAAACATGGTCATTTTCACTATAGTGGTTCTTCCTACCCAAGAATAAGGGATATCTTTCTATTTTCTGATGTCCTCTTCCATCTCTTTTTTTAGAGTTTTCAGAGTAGTTTTTTTACTTCTTTCATTAGATTGATTCCTAGGTATTTCATTTTTTTGGATGTTATTGTGAAAGCAGTTGTTTTTCCAATTCCTCTCTCAGTGAGTCTGTTGTTCATGTACAGGAAGGTTATTGATTTTTGTGTGTTGATCTTATATTTGGCTACTCTACTGAATTTGGTTATTAAGTCTACAAGACTTTTCCTCCATCCTGTTTTTTTTGGCCAGCATCAGATTCATTTATTTATCATTAAGTCCTTATAAAGTTAATTGTCATATATACAGATTAACAATCAGACTAATTGGCCAAAATATACAAAACATTTAAGAGAATTCTATTAAATCAATTAATATAGCAACTTGTTTTTCTTTCTCTCCTATTATCTATCTTTTATTTCACACTTTATTTATATATTGAGTTTCTCATACAAGGGAAACTATGCAATAATTAACATGTGTCTTATGTTCTCCACTTAACGTTATGGAATCAAGGTGCATCTATTTTCCTACAAATGACTCAGGTTTGTCCGTCTTTATGGCAGAGTGGTAATCTGTTGTGTATAAATGCTACATTTTCTTTATCCATTCATCTGTGATGTATAGGTAGGCTGTTTCCAGGATTTAGCTATTACGAATCATGCAGCTATAAATATGGGTATGATGTCTTTAACTCTTTTGGGAAGATACCTACAAGAGTAGCTGAATCAAATGAAATTTTTACTTTTAGTTTTTTGAGAAATCTCCATCTTGATTTCCATAGTGGTTGTATCAGTTTATACTCCAACAATAATGCAAAAGGGTTCGTTTCTCCCCTCAGCCTCACCAGCATTTGTTATTGGTTGATTTCTTCATGGTGGCCATTGTTTCTGGAGTGAGATGGAATCTCATTGTTGTTTTAATATGTAGTTTTTGAATGGCCAGAGATGTTGAGCATTTTTTCATGCCTTAATTGTACATTTATACTTCTTCATCTCTGATCAGTATCTATTCATTTCAGATGCCTATTTTTATTGCATCTTTAAATTTGTGGAGTATAATTCTTTAAATACTTTATATGTTCTAGATATTAATCCTTTGTCTAAGTAGTAGCTGGCAAAAAATTTTCCTATTCTATAGGCTTTCTCTTCACTTCGTTGGTTGTTTCCTTTGCTGTGCAGAAGCTTTTTAATTTGATATGATCCCAGTTGTTCATTCTTGGTATTATTTCTTGTACAACTGGGATTCTGTTTTGAAAGTCTTTGCCTACACCTATATCTTCAAGACTTTTACCTATTTGGTCTTCTAGCAGATAGTTGCTGTTCTAATGTTTAGATGTTTGATTCATCTTGATTTTAGTTTAGTGCATAGTGAGACAGAAGTGTCTAGTTTCAGTCTTTAGCATGAAGATAGCCAGTTTTCTCAGCATCAATTGTTAAGGGGGGGGTGTCTTTCCTCCAGCGGAGGTGTTTGGGTCCTGGTCAAAGATAAAGTAGCCGAATGTGCCTGTAGTTGTTTCAGCTGAATCCTCTGTTCAGTGTCATTGATCCAAAAGCCTGTTTTTTGTTTGTTTGTTTTTTGGCAAATATGCTGCTTCTATCATTGTGGCTTTGTAGAATGACTTGAAGTCCAGGATTGCAGTGCCCCCTGCTTGGCCTTTCTTGGCCACAATTGTTTTTGTTCTTCTAGATTTCTTCTAGTTACACATGAATTTTAGGGTTGGTGCTTCC